ATATATATATATATATATATATATTCAAGTACTTAAATTTTATAATCTTACTAACAAATCAACCATAAATAATTTAATAAATTGTATAAGCTAATATTTTTTCAATAATTGATAGAAAATTAGAAGTTATTGAAGGGCGCCTAAGAATGTGGCTTTGATTGCCTTAAGACAGCCACGACCCTATCCATGTGATCGAACTGTATTGCTTAGTATAGCATAGACTTGCTAAGGTTAGTTACAGGAAATTTAAATCATAAGTTCAAAATCTCGTCATCACCTTTTACATAAAAATACAATAAAAATTGGAGCTACTTAATTTAAGTCTCTTAGACAAGTGAGTGGATCTTTAAAAAAATAAAAAAAAATACTCTTAAGATGATATATTCATTTTGATAAACAACTTATTTAGGATATTATTTAATAAACTCTTATGTAATAAAAATTTATATTATTAGTACTTAAAGTTCAATAAGTTGTTACATTTTGATATACATATTAACAAACACTTATATAATTTTAAAGTGTTTGAATATATCATTATTGAAGTATTTATAAGATGTTATTTTACTTTAAAAAAATTTTAAAAATTGTAAATTGAAAATAAAATAAAAGACTTAAAAATATTCTTCAAAATTAACTAGTTTTGATTTTAGTCATTGTAAAATTTTTTCCTTATTTTTCATCCTTCTAAAATTGAACTATTATTTTTAGTCTCTAATATTTTGTGATCATTTTTAACTACATTTCGTACATTAAAAGATTAAGTGAACATTCTAATTATTACATATATACTGTTAGTGATATTATGTCAGTATTCAATGTTTCTAAAAGTTCGTATTATATCATTAAAATATTTGTTATTCATCTACTTTAAAATAACTACTAGGGACTAAAAATAGTTACTTTAACAATTGATACACATGATTCTATAACAACAATTAAAAGTTACTTTTACTTACATTAAAGATACAATATATGATCCGGTAAAAAATATAAATATAAATTATTGTGATAATATATATATATATATATATATATATATATTTTGTTGAATTTCATTTAAAATTAACACTAAAATTATATATAATAATAATGTTAAATAAATATGTACTTATATATATTTTGTATATGCAATGACATTTTATGTATATTACGGTATATCCTCAGTCATATAACTATTTTAATAATATTAAATAATTTTGTTACTATACATGCACAAAAGGTTATATTTGAGGAACCTGTAAGAAACCAACATACGAGTATCAACGTTTTTTCACAAAGGCCTTCTTAAGTGCCTTTCCAAGTTTTGCTTAGTTCTAGTAGTCAATGCATCAAATCCAAATATTGTCAACCACCATATCATATACTTTATTCACACCCTATAACTATCATCCAATTTAGGGAGTCCAATGTTATGAGATATGAAACCAAAGCATTGAAGCTCCTATCAGATTCAGCTTTAATGGAAACTACAAAAATTCAATTCAATTTATTACTATTAGGGAAAAAAAAAGATTTTTTAGGGTTGAACTATGTTTAAATCTATTATTATGAGAATTAGTACTACTACAAATATAGTAGTAAACAGAAATTTTTCTATCTGGATATGAATCAAAACCAACGACACTTGAAACATGACAAAAATAATGATCAGAACATGGAGAAGGTTAGGGGAGAGAAGACCACGGTGTCACCTTTGGAGAGAGGTTATGGCTTCGATGTGGCCGATGACCTTGCCGTGTTGTCGTACGAGACGCTAAAGGTGGTGATGGAGTTGCGGCGGAGACGGAGGCTTTTGACGGAGGGAGAAGGAGTGGTGGAAGGTTATGACTTATGAAGCAATAGAGAGAAGGAATTATATATTAGTTGAAAATTTACCTGCAATAAATTTTCAGTGTCACTCTAGATTTTTTTTTAGTTGCCTTTGGACGATGTAATGGGAAAAAAATGACTGATTTTTAAAGAAAAATGAAAATAAAAATTATTTATGTAATGACAAAATTTGAAGATAGATATTTTTCAATAAGTTTATGCAAAGGTTAAGTAATAAATTATAATTGTGTTTAACAAAATAATAAAAAAAAACTTTTTAAATTACTCGTAATATATTTTATAATTTATTTAAATATTTTCATAAACACTTATATATGAAATAAGATAAATATAAATAAGTTGTTTATAAATTTTTAGACTATTCAAGTATTCTAATTTTTCTAATTAAACATATTATATATATATATATATATATATTATAGTGAGTCAAAATATTTCGTATTTTTATATTTTATTTAAAAAATAAAAATAAAATGATATTATTAAATAATAAATGTAGTTAATTAATAAATTAGTAGAATGGATAGTTATTAAAAGTAGAGATGATAAAATGAGTTAATTTAACTTATTTATGCTGGTAAAAGATGAACTAGACTTCCGAGTCCATCCTTCCCAAGAGTGAGAGGGTTGGTTGATTGATGTCAAAAAAAATAAAAGACTCACATAAATTAGTATACCTAAATAATAAGATAAGTATTAAATTATAACATATTTGATTTGATTTGCTACACAAATCTCAAATTTTCTATATAATAAAATAATAATAATAATAATAATAATAATAATTATTATTATTATTATTATTATTCTCAACAAATTAGTTGTACACAAAATCTCAAATTACATATAATAATAAAAATCAAATGTATAATACATTTATTGTACAAAAAATTATAAATTAAACATGTAATAAAACTCATGAATTATTTAAACTTAAATAAAAAAATAAGATAACAACAACAACAACAACAACAATAATAATAATAATAATAATAATAATAATAATAATAATAATAATAATAA